TGTGTGTGTGTGTGTGTGTGTGTGTGTGTGTGTGTGTGTGTGTGTGTGTGTGTGTGTGTACCTGTGTTCGAAGGATCTCTCCTTTGGTAAGCTGCATGTCTCCAGTGAGTTCTTTCACAGTGATGCCCAGTGGCTCCAGCCGCTTACCAAAGTAGTTCGTCATCTCAGCCGCCAAGGCTTTCATGGGAGCCACATATACGATCTACAGAGAGAGCGGCGTGGAAATGAATGTGAGTGGAGGAGAGAGAGTGGAGCAAGGTTGTAGACGGGGCTGAAAGGACACTGTGGTGATAAATGAGCAAAGAGGGGCAGCATCATTTGTTCCCCAGCTACCAGCACAAATCAGTTTATTGTGAAATGTCACAGCGCTCGCATGGATAAAATGTAATGGTGATGTATGAAAAGCAGCTTTTGTCACTGCTGGTGTTTGTCAGTGTACGAGCTTTTACACAGAACAAAGACTGTCTGCGTTATTGATGTGTGTGTGGATCTGACACTGGGTTTAAGACCAGTGCTTTTAGACCAAGCTGTCAGCACTGCCAGTGTTTCAGAGTCTGTTTCCTACTGTTGCTATTTGTCATTTTGACCACCGTGATCTTCTGCTTTTCTAACCCAGCACTGACAGATGAACTACAGAGACTCGGTGGACGAGCGCCGTGTGGCTTTACAGCGCACACATTCATGAACAGCTGATCATAATAATGGGGTCATCATTATTCACCAATCAAATTTGATAACAAATCATCACTCAGTCATCGGCTCAGCTTCAGCCTCTGAAGAAAACAGCAGAGACTACGTTGTCTTTGCTCAGCACAGACGCATTCATACACATAAACAGTGTCGGGTGTGTGAACATGCAGGCCGATTAGCTCCGCCCACATTAAATGCAGGCTCATTTCTGTGAATGAACATGTTTAAAAGGCATTTAGCATCAACCTTTAATACAAAGGCTGTTTTATGAAACATCACATCTCTGTCACATGTGGCAAAGTTACACTTAGTCCCTCAGTAGGCACATTAGATGTGAACTGTAACAGCTGTAGGCAGGAAACTCAAAGTGCTTCACGCTGCAGTTTTCCATCCCTGAAATGCTATTGGCTGATTGTAATAACGTACACTTCTCACAAGAGTTAAGGGGACACTCGACCCAAAGTCAGAACTACACCCCTGAACCTGCTTTGGTACCTATCAGAGTAATGGTTTGGTGGGCGGTGCCAGCAGCCCACCGCTCTCCCCTTACACTTCCTGTCTGTTGATGCTTGTCGTTCGTTTCCTTCTCAGCAGTGACAGCATGAGATGGTACCGTTACACTGACTGCTTTAGTATTTAGCATCATCAGTGCTGTAGATCCTTTCAGACTCACAAGACAATCCAGGGAAACATCATTACTGGAGTGAAACAACACGCAAACTGTTCAAATCAACCGAACAAACTAAGCATCTTAAAGGAAGTCCCATGACTCCAGCTCCCCTTGACTTCAACCTATCAGAGCAGTCCTATTAACTCCCTGCCTGAAATCTCAGCGAGTGATCTGAATCCCTGCAGGGCTTGTGTGAAACTTCACCAGGGAGCAAACTGAATCTCCAGGACTCGTGTTCAAAGGCTCCGAGCTGGAGTGACGCTACAAACAGGAAGCAGTTATCACAAAGACATCTTTCCTTGACAGATCAGTACACTACAGCCGTTTCAGCATAAACAGCACTAATAAGTGTAGCTGATGTGTGCATCGCACCTTGAATTCATCTTTCTTAATGACGCCACCGGGCTGCAAGTGCTGACGGATTTCATGGAGAACTGTCAGCATGGCGATGTTGGTCTTGCCAGCACCGGTTGGAGCACAGATCAGGAGGTTCTCATTGGTGTTGTAGGCCGTCTCGAACACTATGGACTGAATCCTGTTCAGGCGCTTCATGCCCTTGAACACCAGCTGCCCAATCTGTGGAAATAAGACAAGCACACAGAATTATGACCCCTGAAAACCACGTGTTCGAATATGTGTGATCAGCAGTGCTGTTACTTTGTGACCGACCCGTGTCAGCGCACAGAGTGTCTGTCAAACAAACACCAAAGGACCACAGACACAGGAGATGTATTTGCAACCCACATGTGTGCTGTAGTGGGTGTGGACATATGAGGTCCCGCCCCCTGCCCCCCTCACACACAAGCTCCCACCCTTTGATATGCAACAGGAATTTAGACGCTAACAGTCAGTGTATCATTTTATCACTTTGTAACAAATAAGGATTAGTGATAAGCACCTTTGAAACACTGGCACAGGAGAGGAGGGAGGGAAGTCTTCACCATGACACTTATACTGGGACTATATGCTGTACTGGGACTATAAGCTGTACTGGGACTCACTAACACACTGAAGCACAGAGGCTAAGGTTGGCCTGTGCAGTCTGACCTGGCTGCAGTGAAGCTCGCAGGACTTTCACACACACGGTGTGAATACTTCTGAACTTTCTATTTTCAATAAAATGTTAGCACACTGACTGATGAGGTGCTGCCCATGTTTAGATATAACATGGTCAGATTACATTGAATTTCTATCCATGCATCAACATGATCCATGTGGCTGAGTAATAATAAAGCAATAATGCTGCTAATTCCTGTCTGAAGCCACTGATGTCAGTTATCACTGATGTCGTTTGTCATTTATTCTGAAGAGACCAACAGAATCACTGTGCTGCACTTGTTCCATCACATCTGTGCAGACGTGAAGCTTCTGCATATGCAGGCCATGAATCTGAGACGTGGCGTTCTGACTGACGGGCACCGCGTGTGCCAGAAGACATTGCTTTTCTACTGTCAGCACAAAACCACCGTACACATATTCTCCATCAAACTGGCAACACCCATGTATATTTAATGTTAAAATCTGAATTCATAATGCATGCGCACTGACTAATTCTGCAGGTCAACACGCTCCTTTCTGCTAAATAAAAGGCAGGCTATTTGAATCCCGCCCACTGTGATGACCCCCACTGTGGCTGTGATTCTTGTGGTATTTTGGGTTCAGATAAACTGAGCAGATTCTGGTTGTGCCGTTAAACTAAATAAAGACTTAGGGCCGTACCTGTACAACAAACCCTGGTAGGCACTGACGCAGCTCTGGACTGGTTGCCCTTGGCAACTAGATCTGGGCCAATGCCAACTATTCAGTGCAGTCGCTGGCAACTGCATTTTTTATGACAGAAACATGCTGCAGACTCCTGACATGCAGTACAGACAGGTGATCAGTTACAGCCCGTGTCAGTGACTCAGTGTGAACACAAACTGGAAAATTAAAAAGCATGAAGGAGGACGAGTGCTGAGACGAGCTGCCACTCAACCTGGCCTCTGTCCGCCTTCACCATGGCAACAGAGTGTGGGTGATGGCCCTCAATCTACACTGCCTCTGATAAGGACAGAAACGGCCACCGTGAAGGACAGGTGGTGCCACACACACGCACACACACACACCCACACACACACACAACACACACCACACACTACACAAACACACACAGTACAAAAAACACAGCACACAGTACAAAACACAAACACAGTACAAACACC